CATGCATATGTAAATGTGAAAACCGTGGGCTCATACATAAAACGTTAAAATAATTCAATCAACCAACTTGTATTTTCATTGCTTCATTTTTTGTCGTGTCCACATATGTAACACATATGTTTATGACATATAGTATATAGGTAATTCTATGAGCTGTTGCTGATTATATACGTTTGGAATCAACTCTGGCACTAGTTGGTATCCCTCTAACTTCTTATCAGCATATATGGCAGATTTGGTGGTTACATACATACACACCCTTTTGTCAACATCTTCAATCCTCTATTATACTTGTCTTGTGATGGGAATAGGAAAATTTTATGCTACACCCTTAAAAGGTGTTACGATTTTTATATTCTTTACTTATAATTTATTGTTTTATTAATAATAATATATTATAATATTAGTTATTATATTATTTTGATTATTATTCAACATTTCTTTAGTTATATGTGACATTTTGATTTTAATTTATTTTTTTTGTTTTAGTTGCGACTCTCATAAAATTGAATTATAACATTTATAATTTATATATGGTATACACCTTTTTAAAAATATGTACCATATCATTATCCATCTTGTCTTGCACAACCATAAGCATTCTCTCTCATCATATATATATATATACAATAATGTTTTGTTGCTTGAAATTCATTATACCGAATGACGTCGTTTTGACACTTTTTTTTTCTTCACCTCTCGTTTCTCTCTCAAATGTTGAGAACCAAAACAAATAGAGAAGCGAGGTGACAGTGAGAGAAATAGAGGAGAAGGAGGAACAAAGGAAGAGGAGGATGAGAGGAAGAGGAAGAGAGGATGCTGGAGATGGCTTCGTCGACCGAATGGGAAGCTGCGATTTGGCCATATCGGAGACGGAGAAGGAGAATGGGTTTGATTTTTCTTAAAATATCACATGTCAGATTAGCTTAAAAAAATGCAGTTGTTTTGGTCTTGTTTTTGCTCAAATTATTACTGTTTTGGTGTTGTTTTGCTATTGTTTTTGTTGTTGTTTTGGTGCTGAAATTGCTGATGTTTTGCTGCTAAAATTGCTATTGTTTTGGTGCTAAAATTGATGCTGTTTTGCTGTTTTTTTATTACTGTTTTGCTGTTATTTTGTGCTGAAATTGTTGCCCTTTTTTTTTTTTTTTGTTGCTGAATTTGCTGCCAATGCAAATCTTTAAGGAGATGAGAGTGAGGGAAATGAACAAAGAAAGTGACAGAGGGAGATGAATAGAGTCAAGGAGATGACAGAAGGAGTAAGGGAGATAAACAGAGGAAGAGAAAGAGAAAGAGAGATGAACAGCGGGAGAGAAGGAGATTCGAGACATTCGAGCTACAAACAATTCAAGTTACCCAGCAGAACTCATATATATATTAGGATAAAATCCCTCACTGCCCGCTCTAGCACCGAAGCTGAATACCGAGCTCTTGCTGATACTACTCAGGAACTTCTCTGGCTTCGCTGGCTCCTTGCTGATATGGGTGTTTCTTCTTCTGATCCTACCCCTCTCTATTGTGACAATCAGAGTGCCATTCAGATTGCTCACAATGATGTTTTTCATGATCGCACCAAACATATTGAGATTGATTGTCATTTCATTCGCCAGCATGTTACCTGTGGTACTGTTCGTTTTTTCCCTATCGCTTCCGTCGATCAACCCGCTGATATCTTCACTAAGGCTCATCCTCCTGGCCGCTTCAATGATCTTGTTTCCAAACTCAACTTGGTTGATGCTTTCCCTCCTTGAGTTTGCGGGGGGATGTTAGTGTATGTTAGTGCATCATTATCTTTGTGTAGTGTAGCATTATGTTAGTGTAGCATTATGTTAGTGTAGTGTAGCATTATGTTAGTGTAGCATTATGTTAGTGTAGTGTTATTTAATTGTTCATAGGCATCCAAGGCATCCTCTATAAATAAAGTGCCTTCTTTGTGTAATTGAAATATATACAACATATAGAAACAATTGTGCCTCTCTCTCTCTCTCTATTCGCTCATCTCTATCTTCTCTTACTTTCTCCAATTATTATTTCACTGGAGATGGCTTCGTCGACCGAATGGGAAGCTGCGATTTGGCCATATCGGAGACGGAGAAGGAGAATGGGTTTGATTTTTTTTAAAATATCACATGTCAGATTAGCTTAAAAAAATGCAGTTGTTTTGGTCTTGTTTTTGCTCAAATTATTACTGTTTTGGTGTTGTTTTGCTATTGTTTTTGTTGTTGTTTTGGTGCTGAAATTGCTGATGTTTTGCTGCTAAAATTGCTATTGTTTTGGTGCTAAAATTGATGCTATTTTGCTGTGTTTTTATTACTGTTTTGCTGTTATTTTGCGCTGAAATTGTTGCCCTTTTTTTTTTTTGTTGCTGAATTTGCTGCCAATGCAAATCTTTAAGGAGATGAGAGTGAGGGAAATGAACAAAGAAAGTGACAGAGGGAGATGAATAGAGTCAAGGAGATGACAGAAGGAGTAAGGGAGATAAACAGAGGAAGAGAAAGAGAAAGAGAGATGAACAGCGGGAGAGAAGGAGATTCGAGACATTCGAGCTACAAACAATTCAAGTTACCCAGCAGAACTCATATATATATTAGGATAAATTACACTCAATTCTTTTGAAATCTAAAAATAAATAAATATACAATTAGTGTTATTAAGTGGTTAGATAAATGACACGTGAACAGATAAATAAATAAATATGTAGATAAATATGTGACATTAACAGATTAGTGATGGGTAAATACGTAACGTGAACATAAAGATAGATAATGGACAAATAATTAAATAGGCATGGATCATATAATCATTTTAAATTATATTATTCTTTTGAACTCATACAAATAGACTTTAAAACTATCGTTCAAAAAATTTTAAAATTAAAGTTATAATCCGAGTATCATATATATTAACTAAATATGGATATTCCGATATAAAGTTAACAAACTAGCTTGCGTCAATATCAAATTGAAATTGTGTAATGATATCAGCTGCCTAAAGCGAATGACGGATATCAAATGCCAATTACAAATAAGCACGCGATCCAAAGTCTCCAATCCCTTCACTCTAAACTTGTTTTGAAAAAAAAAAAAAATTAATCAAGAATTTATCACCTAAACAAAAATTAAAATTAAAATAATATATATACATATATATATATTATCACCTAAACAAATTAATCAAGAATTTTATTAACACGTGCCATTAAAATACACATCAATGAGTATAACACTCACTGTAGAATAAGGTCTTGATGAGCTTCCCTTCACCTGATAATTGGTGAGTATTACAAAGAAAGGACTCAACAAAGATAATGAAACAGAGTAGATAGAAAAAGAAAATATGAGAAAATGAAAGAGACAAGGTGAGAGAGAGAGAGAAGGTAAGTCCCATATAAACAGGGACGGATTCAGGATTGAAATTTTGGAGAGGCTACTCTATAGTTTGAAAAATTAAGAGCCACTCTATATAATTTTGAAATTGAAGAGGCTACTCCATCATTGTATATAGAGAGTGAAAAGAAGACAACATAGGAGAAGAAAGAAAAGAAGAGAAAGGAAGAGGACAGAGAAGGAATAAAAAAATAAAATTAAAAAAAATAAAAAAAGAAGAGAAGAGTATTGTCATCTACTGTTTTGAAGGGCAATTTTGCCCATACAGTGAAATTTGCGTGGATCCAACTTTTTGTTTGTGACATTAACACCACCCTAAGGCCATGTTTGTTTGGGCGGACTACATTAGCATTCTCATGACTAATAATCCTAGGACTACGAATCCGTTGGATTATGTATCCTATCTTAACTAATAGTCAAGTTTAAAATAATTAGTCCCTACTTCAATTATTTAACCAAACATCGGATTAATAATTTTATTGGACTATTAGTTCAATCCCAAGCTCATGTCCATCCAAACAAACATGACCTAAAAGTACAATCATTTAAGCGGAAAAGCAATGCCAAATTCAAATTGACAAGGTTCGGGACACAACTCTGCATGTGAATTTCCATCAGTTTCATTATCAAACGACCATAAAAGTGACGTTACAATTTGAAGTGCAAATAGTATACTATTACAATTAAAACTGGAGAGATCGAAGTGCAATTTTAATGAAGCTACAAAAATATTAAGCATAATTAACTTTATGTCAAGCTTGGAAGTGCGCTCATCAAGGTCGCAAATTCGCTTAACACCACCAGGTTCCCCTTCATGTATGTATCAAAAAATAAATAACTACTTGGCATAGACCCTTTAAAAAGTTTTTTTTTTTTGATAATTGGATGTCTAGATCAACTTATGCGTATCTCGACTAATCCCGATATAATTGGCTAGCGATAGTGGTAGTGATAGTATGTGGAAAAAACATTTATAGGTTCAGTATAATTGTCTCTTTAAAAAATTTCTCTGAAATCAAAAGAGGAGAAAATGCAACTTGCCACATCAAGAGATTGGTTAATTTTTTATCCAGACTGCTCACTGGCATTGCTGCACACTTCCAAAATACTAGTAGTAAACTACAGTTGTAACATTACCAAGCCCCCACTGCAATTTCTGAACTGCGTCCATCAAGGCAGCAACAACCAAATCCACACACTTTGAAAATTAGACTAAGCCCCACTGCAATTTGAAATGCACATTGGAGATGTTCCTTGTATCTTGGGAAAGCCTTGTTCAGGGTCTGCAAATTGCTAAGGTATTCTTGCAAAAATATATCCCTGGGAACTCTAATTTGTGAATTTAGAACAATAATCAAATCCGCAAATTCACTTTCTCATGAACAGGGCTACCCCAACAAAAAAACAAAAGGCAAAAGTAAGATCGTTGTACAGAGTTACTGAACAGGGCTACTGTAGGCTCGCTGCAAAGCACCAACCTAGAATATGTTACTCTCCTATCACTGATCTGTGTACTCATACAAGGATCTCAACGGCTCTGGTTTTCTTTGCAACATTTTTACAATTTGCCAAGTAAACGATACAAATAAGCCAAAAATGAAAGAAGTTTCAAACACAGAAGAAAACAGGAACTGCAAGACTAATTAGGGCATATATTCAATGTTTGGCACACCAGAAATCCCTTAAATCAAACAGACTCTGCAACACAGTTCTCAAAGATCCAGAAGACTAGGAGAAGCTTTTTCATGGCATTCCCCTCATATTTTTTTTACTTGGACATGACTGACACAGCATTACAAACTATATATTGCATATACATGTATATGCAACATGGTCCATGAAATCTATATGAATCCTCCCAACTAGAAATAGGTACCTTCGGGAGGCTGGACTAGCTTCCGATTATGCGGAGCAGCCATCTCCTTCTTCAGCTGCGTCAGTATATCTTCCATGGTGTACTCTCGCTGCCAATTTGCCAGAATCCCAAACTTCTTTGGTTCCACCTGTATCAATCAGGTGACATCAAATCTTGTCAGCCATTTCAATTAAAGCAGCAGAAAGGCATAAACTGCAATCTTCAATATAAAATCATCATCTTAATTAAACCTAATATAACATAATCTAACAAGAGTACCTCTGGACTTTATGTTTTCAATTTGTTCATAATCTCAACATTTACACAACACAATTCATCCTTCTACATGATCTAATTTCTCAATCCAAAACCCAAATAAGAAGGAAAGCCTAGTCAACTATAATATATAGCACATAACAAACAATAGCTTCGGCATTCAGCATTCCCAATTTATAAACCTAAAATAATTTCACCAGACTTGAGCTTAGAAAAAATCGCATTTTTAACGACATGGTTATAGGTCAGCAGAATTTCTGTAGCACGTAGCAATAATTATATTCCAGGAGTTAGGGCAATATAGACTAAAGCCCAATATGAATCACAGCACAAAGAACAGGGAAAAAACAGAAAACATAATAACAATAATAATGATAGGAACAGTATTAACCAATATCAGTCTGATGGTGTTATAACCAATGTTACATGGAAACCTTTGAGACATTATCACCATGGTGTCAGGATGGAGATGACAAGACAAAGATTAATTCCACGAATAATCAATATTGAAAGTCAAAAGAATGGGAGAATAGAATACATTGAAAGGAAACGAATAATTCCACCAAACCTTTGAGACTAGAATAATAGAAAACATTGAAAAAATGGGAGAATAGAATAATTCCACCAAACCTTTGAGACTTTTTTATGCATATACAAAGGATGGGAGAATAGAATACAACAGAACAAATTGATTACGTGGGACCTACATTGAAAGTGAAAAGAAAGAAAAGAAAAGAAAAAAACTCAACCTAATCAATAACAGTGCCACAATATCAACTTAAATGTAAAATGATTACATTCATACCACTCCAGTTTCATGGTTGACGCAAGTCATGTTGATCCGAGAATGGAAACGAACACTTGGTGGCTTCTCAGGGTAATCTTTATCACAGAAAAGCTTCAGCTGATAAATACGACCTTCATGTACAGACTGAAACAGAAAAGTTACTCCAATTTTAAGATATATAATGTATAGAGTCAACTACCCAAAAAAAAAAAAAAAGAAGATAAATATCCAGATAATTCAATAATGCCCTGTCAGTTACCAAACAGTAATGGGCTTCCACTACATCTTAGTAAAACACAATTTTCTTCAATATTTTGAACAGAAATTTACAAAACCAAAAAAAAAACAAAAAAAAAAACAAAAAAAGAAGAGAAAAAAAAGAAGAAGAAGAAGTAATTGGTGTTTCTCAATTCCATTAAAAAAATTAAGGTGAACATTTCATAATTTGATGACATCAAATATCAGAGAAAGTTCAAAAAATATATGAGGAAGCATGTGACATGACTCCCACTTCTTGAAACCAACACATTCTAGATTATTAGTAATCCGCTTGCAACAAAACTGTTCAACCATCTAAAACATTCCAAATAAAACAAGACCTACTAGTGTGCCAGCTTGCCTATGAACTGTATTTTAGTCTCACCACACAGATCTAATTTTTGCCAACCCATATCTCACATTGTTAAAAGTAGTTATAAACTCCGACGTGTAAGAACATTAATGTGCTTCCCTCAAAACAATGATTTTTAATGCCATCAGAGTCATGAGTCAAAAAAAAAAAACAACCCGGAACCTGTGGCTGCAACAAAAGTATGAATCCTTATTCTGCCAATTAACTTCCATTCTGAAAAACAAATTACACTCTTTAATATGCACCCACATCCAACTCTGATTTTGGGTTTGGGAAGGAGGCTGTTGAGAAGGAACATCGTCTCTTGATGTTGATGTTTTATATAGTAAACAAAACAGGGGAATAGTTTTTTTCCCCCCTCTTTTTGACTAGAAAGATTCTCAATCAAAGGATTAAACTAGGAAAATTAAAGATCAACAAGTAGCATCACTAGTCCAGAAGAAGAAACTGGAGACTAGAAAAAGATAATACATTAATATACTTACAAATAGCCTCTGCATAAAAGAAGACAGTTCCAAAAGAATACGTAATGAACTTAAAAAAGTTTCTTACATTATGCGGCCCAATAATGGTGCCTGTCCATGAACGCATGTAGATGTCATCTCCATCATCCATTCCATAACTCACAGTACCATCTCCAATACCCTTTTCTCCACGTTCAAGTTCCTCAAGCAATCTGAAGTTTCGAGGGACTGAAAAGAAACATAAACATACTATGCTTATGTTAAGGTTTAACTGGTAGTGTACCAAAGACATTTATCATGTTCAATACAACTCAACAAAATATATGTATATATATTCCTTACAATAAATTTATATATAAAATACGTAAATACTCCCCTAGATGCATCCCCGACCTTAGACTCTTCCATGTGCCCTTGCTCCCCCACCCCCACCCCCACATTGAGCAGCTAAGATCCTTCTAGCACAGGGTAATAGATTGAATCCATAGCCTTAACAAACATATGAACCAGCCATATAACTGAAGTCATTAAGTACATTAGGACATTGTGTTTTGTACTGTAGTTGGTCATGAAAGACCAAACTACGGTCAATCATTGTTCAACCACACTGCCACATCTTTCTAAAATCAGTCTAACAAAAGAATTATTTTCCCTCAAAACTAGTTATATCCAATAGCAGTGTCATGATGCACCAATTGTCCAATAACCAATTGGTTAAATTTACTTCTTTTTTTTTTTTTATCAGTAACCAATTGTGTAAATTTACATGAGATAAAGAGGAGGTGCTCAATATTAGCATTGCGATTAATCATGCCATGAAAAGATGAAATAAAATATCCACAATATGTTCATCCATATATACATACTTTCAAGACCACAATACATGAATATTATTCATGATATTTGAATAATTTCTAATTTATCTAAATTGATGTCAATATTCTGTGATATATCTCTTAATATATATTCATATTTTGAAGGTTACAATTTTTCTTTTTATTGATATTTTATTACTTGTACAAATGACAAAGGATGTTTGGGAACTACAACAAAATTTTGTCAATGAAAAAGAACAAAATATAACAAAGGCACCTTAATCCTAAATCGAACTAAGTTTTGGGGTACACAAATATTTGCTGAATATGTGAGATGTAACGAACTTCACTTGGATTTGCTCAACCTCCTCTCTTTTGCACTCTCTGGTCTTTATATCATAATCTGTTTTCATTTCCAAGTTCTAGCAAAACCAAGGTCACCTAAAAATAATATTACAAACCTTGAGAGGAAACATGTTCCACATAATAGCTTCACAATATTCTCTTCCAATTTCATTGACTAGATATCATTGGTATCATTTTAGTGGCCAAAGCCACATAAGGAATAAGTGAAATTTTCAATCCGTAACAGATTCTTATTTCACATTGGTATCATTTTCTTCCTTCTAAATGAACTACAGGGAGATAGGATAGAACATTTGCACAGCCATCTTAATTTCCCCCCAAAACTCTGACAAGATGAAGGAAAGATATCCAAGTTAGATAGCATCCCAAAAAGTATACCAAATGCAAGTGCCACTTCATGATGAAGCGATGAACTAATCCATGAAAATGATTAAGTTGGAACTTGGAAGGCACACATGAAGTACACGTTATCTTGAAAAACAAGTAATAGATCGATAATGCCAAGAAACTCAGACTAGTCTAAAAAAATTAATAATAATAAATGAAACTCATAGCTTTAACTGGACATTCACACGAGGACAATCCATAAATTCACTATAACAATTTCTAGAGAGAGAGTGTGTGTAAAGGTTAACAATTTAAGGCGCGATTGTTGCTCTAGGGCTTCATCAAAAGAGCTAAGGCAAAACAATGCACATAAGTGGTCTATAAAATTAGTATCCCCAAGCAAAAATCTAACAGAATGTATTGATGGGCCTGGAACCAACATTAAACCCAACCAACAAAACTAAAACCATCGAGCAATGGACAATTAAACTTCCAAATGGCATAAAGTGTTGAAAGAGTCTTGAGGAATGAAGGGACACATTGCATGTGTTTGTGCCCTTTCATACTTGCTTATAAACTACATACTCAAATAAGGTGGAAAACATACAAAAATAAGATATTGCAATTATTAATCTAACTCCCAAGTCGAGTAAAACAACAAACACTCACAAAGGCCACCTTCAATGTGTAGTAATTAATATCATCCGTTGACCAATACACAAAATGCATTTGATGATTTGAATGAACCACTTGGTCATAGAAACTAAAGTATCCCCTGGAGGAATGAGAACAGAAGCAAACAATATCAAAGAAACACCAAACATTGAAAAAAAGAAAAGAAAAGAGACCCACACCATTCAAATGTCTATTTCAATGGAACAACATTAATCAAATTAAGACCTTTGACCTAATTGCCATGAACATAAATCCATCACTACAAGAAACAATCTTGGAAATGAATGTCATAACAACAAAGCAGCATACCCATTACTAGACATCAATAGCACAACTGAAAGAACATATTAGAATCCAGAAAATAGACCAAATAGATAGTAATTTACAACAAATTAAAGTTGAAGAACCAAAAATAAAGAAGTAACTAAACAGTAAACACAAATAAAACAACAAAAGAAATGATCAGAGAATCAGATTTAGCACTAAAATTGATTAATTTAACCAAGACATAATAATTCTCAGCACAAGCCCCATCCAAATTCCACCAGACAATCACTCGAATACACACACCAACAACTACATCTACGGGAAAAATGTATTGAAACGATTAAATCAAACAAACCCATGAACAAAAGTGCCGGATAAATGAGAAAAAAATATTAAAATCAAAGAAGCAAATCGAAATCGAAGAAGAATCAAATTGGGTTCGAAGACTGACCCACGACACTCGATCCTCCCGAGCCAAGCGTCATGGTGACTATACAATTTTGACTCTGATGGATCGTTTAGAGATCGATCTGATCAAAGTAGAGAGAGAGAGAGAGAGGGGGAGAGAGAATCTGAGAGAAGGAGACGACGCCAAACGGAGAAAAAGGAAATAGAGATAAAAATAATAGAAATGCGAGGGCTAGGTGAAGAATGGGCCAAGTTTGGATATGGCTATATATATATACTAAAATAGTTAATAAAAATAAAATAAATTAAAATAGTTGATAAGATTAATTAGATTAAAATAATCAAATAATTAAAAATTTAATTAAAATAGTTAGGGGTTGTTTGAGATTTTTAAATAAATGTATTTTTTAACTTTTTATAAAATATAAAGTAGATTTGAAGTGATTTTGTAGGGAAGTGATGTGATTTAAATAAAATGATATAACTTAAATAGAATAGTGACTTTTTAATTTTTTTTTTAAAGGACACCAAATCTAGCCTTAAGTTCGCGAACGTTGACAGGTATGGTTGTGAAACAAAGTGGCTCTTTTATTTAGTATTTATTTAAGATAAATTACAAAAACATATATGGAAGCTTTTTCGATAAATTTCTTTTTAATAGTTTTATTCTATTCAATTCATTTTTTTTTTTATTATTTCATTAGGTACTATTTGAGATAAGAAGATCAAAATATCCTTAATCTCTCATGCCCCTATTAATGTTGATATTTAATGTTGATTGTCATTATATTTTAGTAGTTGTCATATATTAATATGTTGTCATTATATTCATGTTAATTTGAAATGAATTTTTGTCATTGTATTGTCAATTACGTGATGTGAATATTCACATCATGTAAATGAAAAGAATATTCACATCATTATATTCACATTAATTTGAAATGAATTTTTGTCATTGTGTTGCTAATTACATGATATGAATATTCATACTACAACATACGAATGTGAACGTTCACATCACCATATTAGATGAGAGAGAATGTTTACGTGTTGTGAATGTTTACATCATTATATGTTGTGAATAAGAATGTGTTATTAATTAAAAATATAATGAACGTTATTTTGAATGTGTTGTCAATTAAAAATAAGAAGGTTTACATGTTGTGAACGTTCACATCATTACATTAGATGAGAGAGAATTTTTCGGAAAGGTGTTGTGAACGTTCACATCAGATAAGAGAGAATGTTCACATTATTTTTAATGTATTGTCAATTAAAAATATATTCACATCAAATGAGAGAGAATATTTACATTGTTTTTAATTTGTTCTCAATTAAAAATATATTCACATTATATAATAATATAAAATAATAACATCAATGTTATTTAATTTGTATATGAAATTTTCTATGCCTTGGTCCTTTCCCTTCTCTCATTAGATAAAAGAGAATGTTCACATTATTTTTAATGATTTTATAGAATGCCACGTCAACAACAAAGATGGAGGGAAATGATCCTAATGATTGAATACATTTTGCCTAGCGTTGAAGGCTAGCTACTTGTAGCTAGTGAATATGAGTTGAAGCAAAATGCCTAATCATATGCCTAGTGCATTGGAATTGAAAAAATTGAATCACACTAGGCATTTTAACTAACAAGTATTATATGCCTAGTGCATTGGAGAGGCTCTAAGTGGGTTAAAAAATTCGTTCATAAATTTCTTGGGTTAGAACACTTCTAAATGAGATTTATCAATAAAAATCCCTACATATATACTTAAAATATGAATTAGGGGTGGATATTGATCCGTTAACCCGTTCAGCTTAGGTTTATTTTTTTAAAGTTTGGGAAGGTTAAATCTATAGGATCAGGTTGGGTCAACTTTTTTAACCTGATATATTAATGAGTTGGGTTTGGAATTTATACTTTTAATCTAGCCCGACGTAACATGACAAACCCGCGATTAAATTAATTAATTATAGTATACCAAAAAATATATATATTTTTTGAGACCTAAACTTTATGTTTGTTGATTTTATTAAAACTCACATTTATAGTGATATTTGATTAAATTTATTTAAAAAATCTTTTAATTTATACACAAAATCTTTCAATTTTTAATGATGTTAGTATATTTATTTCAGAAATATAATGTATGATTAAATTTAATTATAAATATTTTAATTTTTTTAACATATAGTCCGATAGTTGGGTTTGAGATTTATAATTAATTTTTGAGTTGGGCTTGGGCAAAAATAAAGACCCGATGTTAGGGTCGGGCCGGGACTGAGACAAATACAAAGCCCCTTATTATATAGTGTCGACTTGGCCCGACAAATGGCCACCCCTAATACGAATCATCTACATCTAGAAATTATATTTTACTCTTTAAATTTCTAATTATTACATAATAAATAAATTTTTATTAATAAATCATTAAATTAATTAACAGTTTTTAATTATGTCATAAATTTATTTCAATTAACAATCATGATAATTTTATTATTGCATAGAAGAGTAGTTAAAAAATTTATTTTTGCTGTTAATTCTGTTAAATAAAATAAATATTTATAATTTCCAGAACTATAGAGAGCAATTCATATTTTAAGCAAATATTAGGGTTTTATTTAATTTACCCTTATCATTATTATTTTTTGGTTGCTACTGATATGCAAGTGAACATAATTTTATCTTTATTATTTGTTTGGTTTTTTTTTAACAAAAACTTTATCATCTTTTTAGAAAAAATAACAAAGAAAAAAAGAACTCAAGATTTGAGCCTTTTAACAAAATAAAATTTGACTTTTTAATTTTATAAAGAGGTCCGTAAATAACATTTCATTTTTGACTTTAGATCATTTTTTTATTTTATTTGAGTCACATCACTTTTTATTTGGGCCACATCACCTCTCTACTACATTGTACAGATCTTCATAAAAAATTTAAAAATATACTTATTTAGATCATCTCAAACAATTTTTAAATGACTAATATATTACTCGAGCAATGTTGTTAAAATTTGACATTTTCATACTATAAGATAGGCAAGTATCTGCTATCCGTCAAAATCGAATGGCCCGAAACCAATCTACCACACAATGGATGGTTTCAGTGTTTAGAGCGAACAACCAGTTTGCCAAAGTTTGGACGGATAGCGGATGAGAGGTCACCCGACTCAATCTGATCGCCAACATTCATAAGAAAATAAAATTATACTTTTTTATGCTTAGTGTGTTAAAAAAACAAAAAAAACTTTTTATTTAGGAATTATACATTAAAAAAATAGCATTTTATTTAATAATTATATTTTTTATTTATAAAATATGAAAGTTGATTATATTTTTATTATTACAAAAATGAGTGAGACCCCCACCACCCCAGTGAATGCTGATTGGTTCAGTTTTTTGTTTGTTTGTTTGTTTGTTTGTCCTGCTTTCGTTGACCCCCACGTGTATGTGGGGGTTGGTAGGGATCACTCCCAAGTGGAGGGTCTGTATCAGTTTTGTTATTATTATTAAAAACGAACAATCAAAACTTTTGGATGCAAAATAGTAAAAAAGTTACTGGAAAATAACTAGAAAAAAGGCTCAAAATAATAAAGCTCCAATCCACCCAACTAATTCGCATCTACTCTCAAATCACATTTGCTAACTAAGCGGATAGATGTAGATTGATTTTTTCCAATCCGCCTAAGCACAGAAAATGGCAGATGAGAGGCCACCTAACCTAATCTGATCTGCGAACGATCTTAGATGTGAGATTATTAAAATTTGATTTTGACCACATTTTAGCATTGGAGATGCTAAAAAAGAATAAACAACTCATCCTCTTTACAACCCAATTTGCATTCATTAAAGTGTGGTGAAGGTTCCTTTTGTGTTAAATCAGGTTGGGAGTTGTTTCTTGTGATTTTGAGTGTGATTGAAGATTTACTTGAAAATATTTTTTTATAATTTTGATTGTGATTTAAAAATGGAAATGAAGATCATTTGGGGCATAGTTTGAGAAACAAATTGTTTTTGTTAGGATCCATGTATTTTAACATTCTTAGGTTGTTTGGACAATTAAAGTCGAACATTGCAATTTTGGTGTGTTCGGCAAAGATAGTATCACAATTGTAATATGCTGCTTATCAGTAAATACGTTAGTACTAAGTGTGGAGATATAATTTTTAAATGACAACACGTGGCTGCGGTGTCACCGAAGTGCTAGCCGAGGTGTCACGTGTCCTGGTCATGACGCCGAAATCATCTCGGTTAGGCTGAGGTTATTTACGAAGATACCGGAATCCAGGATAAGCAGATAAGGGACAAGAGTCCTAGAATGAGAGAGGACTTCAGTCAGTTTGGGTAAAGATAAGACTCTTAGAGAGTTTATCCCAATCCTACTAGGAGTTAGGCTTTTATTGGGACTAGGTTTATGTTGGCTATAAAAGAGAGGCACCCTCATGGGTCTAAGGTATACTTTTTATACTCTGAATAATGAGTTAAGTGCTTTTGCTACCTTTGAGAGATAACTGACTTGATCGTCGGAGTGTCCCGGGTAGACGAACCACCTCCGGAATCTCTTCTTTTTGTGACAGGTCGTTCGGCCTTAATCTATTCTGTCAGTGTTATTCAGCTGAATGATTGATTGGCAGTGTGGTCATAAATCGACACACACTTAGCAATAACTTTTAAATCACAAATCATGGCATAACTTGAGATAGTCAACCATTAAAACAAAGCTAGGATTATTAGACGATTTGAATTACATAAGACCAGGGCCAGTTTGAGATTTTCAAGAACCAAGGCGTGGAGCGTTAAAATTGGGACCCTTCATGTGTAAATAATAAAAAAATTATTTATTTGATTTTTTATTCTAAAGGTGTATAATGTAAATTTAAAATTAATGCAATACGAGTCATGTAAATATATATATTGATTTTGTCTTTAAGAGATGAACATTTTTTTAATCAAATTTAGAATTCATCAAATTTGAATTTAATGAAAAGAAAAATTGGGATATGAAGAGAATTTTTAGAAATATTTTCATGAAAATTTGATAGTTTGAGTAATTCATATGAAATCAAGTTTTTTTTACTCAAATCTATAATCAAATTAAATAGAAATAAAAAGTTAGAGATACTCTAAAAACCTTTAATTAAGGTGACGTTTGGAAACGTTTACGTTTTTCGTTTATGTTTATAAAAAATTGTAAACTAGTTTTTCTTTATTTTTAGAAAAAAGAAAAACTGTAAACACGTT